AAGACTTTCGACTAGCCTCATATCGATCAATATAAGCGGTTAGAGTATCCAATTGAACTAGTTTATTCAGTGTACAATGATTGTGTATTAAATAAAATAATAGAAAATCTATACAGAAATGTGTTAAACAAACTTCCCATAGTGAAGAGGGTTGACGATCTGCAATCAACTGGCTGAAGTATGTTAAACAATCACTAGTTATGCTTTTCATCCAATCATTTTTAAGACATCCATAGACGACCTCCTTATTTTCTTCACCATTATTCACCACCAACGCCGCCGCCTCCTCGTTCTCCTCCTGATAGCTAACCATACAGAAATGTGCAATCTGACCGATATTTAATAACATTAAACTGCATACTATACCCGGGCAGGGTGTAGTTTCTGATGATGACGAAAGAAGGCGTGAAAATGCTTCATACCAACGATTAAGAAACAGCGGTTCTTTTGGAAATAGCCGAAAACTAACTGTTAAACACATTGATGATAAACGCAGACATTCATTTGACAAATAATCATTATGATTTGAAGATGATGCATTTAGAAGAAGATTAATACCAACCCAACACCAGGAAAGTTGTTCAATTTCTTTACCAGGTCGTATTTTAGAAATTTCAACTGCACGATGTACCATTTTCATAGCATTTATCCATTGTTTTTTACCAATATTGAATATAATTGAAAAGAATACCTTTTCAACTGAACTTGAACGATCAATGAATCGTTTTATACACTTTTCTGTGTATATTACAACTTCTGATGATTTTAAACGGAAATGCGCCAGTATTAAAGCTTCTTTAACTTTGTCATAACTTAACAGTAATTCAATTGCTTCGTGAATACGATGTGCACAAACCAGTAGGGTAGCAGAGATGAGAGTATCAGCACTAGTGGTTTGCATATTTCTAATCTATCATTATTGCATTTTTGAGAAAAAAAACAACAAAAATCACGATTACACACAGAAAACAGGGTTATTCATCAAGCATTTTGTATATTCAAAGTAAAATATTTCGCAAATGAACACTATCGACTGTCAATAAACAGACAGTCATACAGATTATCGTAAGTTTCAGCTTAAAGGAGAGTTACAAAAAGATTTTTTAAAACGTTATGTAACTTAAGTTACCGCCCGACAGCTGCCACCTACCTCTTGACGTGGTGGTCACGCTTGCATATGACAATGAGCTACACTGGCTGGAACTAATGTTCTCGTAAATCCTTTCGTACCAGGAAGATTGCTAGGGTAGCGAATGAACTAAAAGCAGTTACCAGCATAGTGCAAGATTTTTTATGTGAACTTGCATTAGCCAGTCCCAGTGCGTTGATCGCTGACGAAATCTCAGAATGGATACAGAAGACTTGTCTGGCATTTACCTGCCAACTTAAATCATCTCTGGCGTAGACGTGATATCCAGCTGGCCGTCGACCAAAAGACGTGTATACTGCTCACCAATTCGTTCCCACCTACTCTTTTATAGCTGTGAGTGAGACGTGGCCATTGACCGTGAAAAACATGGAAAGCTTAGCTAGCTGTCTTTCATCATACGTGTCTGTGTTGTACCTACATCCCGTGTTAGATGGTATGGTATGATACGGTGAGTAATATCGTATTGAGGTTAGGCATCGTCGAGTTCTAGTTAAGGAGTGAGGGAAAGTCGAACGTCGAGTTTGTGAAGTTACATCGATTAAGATGTCTAGGGCATGTGTCGCGCATCCTAGCCTAGCCATCGACCGCCTTACTCGACGGGAAATCTTAGCTAGCTGACATAGGATCGGTGAGTTCTGAGAAAAGCATGTGGTGGTGAAACGAAAACACAACGTCACCAGACAACGAAATCCACAACAGTTGGTTTAGGCCAACCGGTCGGTCACGTAGGGGGTTGTAGATTGGGTGGCTGGCTGTCTGGTTGGGGTCTTCTGGATGGTAAGAACAAATGACCGCTGGAGATAATTGGTGATATGGTTCAAAATCATTCTCAGTGATGGTGCAGCAGATGCATTCACTCACTCTTTGTGATTTGTCATATCCAATAAAACTCTATTGTTCTTCCATTTTACTACTACTGTTTTTCCCTCACTCACACTTGTTTATTATCTCCTTTTTGAACCTCTCTTTACTCTCTTTTCTTGATTTGTGTACTATATGGGGGGAGTGTGGCAACTGGAACTGCCGCACATCCATGCAAAGTTCTACGTTGAAACAAGTCAGCCAGTCACTACTACTTTAAGTTGGTTTCTTTCATTGACCGACCTATTGGACAATCAATGTTAATCGCCATAGAGAAGTTCATCTCTTCATGATGTAAATAAAACTTCCAAAAATGCAAAACAAGTAGATAGAAATGTAATTACAATACCAATACTTGAAGAACGATTATAATTAGACGAAAATGTGAAAGATGACAAAAGGTAAATACATCACACTGCGAATGACCTTCCACGATGTTCCCAAATTTCACATACCAGTGACTTCTGTACTTCGAGGACTATAATTGTGTAACCTACACCGAGCTACATAGCTCAACCAAACAGTCAGTGACTCCATGGATTCCTGCCATGTTATGTTTGATCACTCCAAGTAATACTCTCCACAATTCAATGCTATTTCAAGCAAATATATCTAGTCGAAACAATCAATCGTAAACATGAAAGCGCGCGTTCCAGGACGTGATCGGAGTCTACACACGTGTTTAAGAAGGAGTGGCAGTCTTCTACTGGCCCCCACCAAAGATAGCCCGTTTGAGTCCGACGTTAATTCGGTGATGTAGGTCACCAGAATAGGCAGTATATCTCTTTGTGCCTGAAGTTAATCCCAACTAGGAACAGATAATTATCTGAAGACAACTGTAGAAGATGACCACCGTCCTAGGTTCGCCGGCAGGGAACTCCGTATCACAAATATACTTTTCAGTCTGGCACAACCTCCCTACTTGGGTAACCAAGTCGCCAGCTAAAATGACTACTCCTGCGTGTTTTACACTTTGCAGCAAACTAGACAGTTTTTGGTAGGAGTCATTCTTTAATTCATTCAAAATGCAGTCTGTCGGGTGGTAAGCAGAGGCTGGCTATGCTATGAAATGACACCGATGGGTAGCGTAGTCCTTTCTACGTCAAACAGACCGCACATATATGACTATCTACTGGGATCCAGTCAATAAGCGATTTTTCTGCCTCAACACTCAATGTTATCCCTAAGCCTTAATCCTCATTATATCCCATTAAACCTAACATTTTATAGCTTTTTATGAATTTGATTCGACTTAGTCTATTCCTATTCTCTGTAGGGTACGGTTGTGCACCAAATGCACAAAAAGGCATAAAATAAAAAAACCGACATAAAGAAAAAATGTATTAAAACCAAAAGTGGACATCATGATATTGCAAACTGTTCAGGAAGCATTATACATTGCAAATGAACGTTGTCAGCCTAGGGAGTTTCCTTTATTAATGCATTTATTAGTGATACTTCCACTTACCCATTTCATTACACTTTATTGATTCACCTTAGCACTTTTATTTTCCTAAAACAGCTTCCAATCCCTTGTAAACATTGTACTTACCTCAATATTGGATGGTTATCGCATGCCGACAACCACGGGATGAAAACGAAACGAAGTCAATTTTCCCGCTCAACCTGTAGGACAACTGTACAATTCAATAACTATACAGCCTAGTTTAGACAATGAGTGTAATTATATATATATCAAATATTTAACTGTTGAAACATTAATAACTTGTAGACAATTTACGATTTGATATTATATCATACTTGATCGTGCCTGTAAAAATGGCATGCATTTTCATGTAAATTTATGTTTATATGAGAATATACATTATTATTATCATCAAGTCCTCGCATATCCACAGTTCAAACAATCGGTAGGTCAGTATGCGTAACACATAACACTACTCATCTCATAACAAACAGCACCAGAGCCACATTCACTAGTCGCCTCTCTTTATCTTATACCATACAAAGTAATGAAACATCCTTAGCTTAAAAATACACTGACGAATACAACTTGAGAAATATCGAACTGAATTAACTAATTGAAGCCGTTAGGCGGCCTACGGATCCAATATCCAACATCGTCTTTACGGGCTAGAGAGACTGACTGGCTGGTTTCAACAAAGAACTTTGCACCTATGTGTAGCATTTCGAGTCGCCACACTTCACTTAGCACACAAAGCAAGAGAAGAAAGTAAAAAGAAACGCAAAATAGAGACAGTAAACAGAGATGAGGCAAAAGAATAGCAATATCGAAGAACAATATAGTTTCATTGGGTATTATAGATTTTAGATTCCCCCGTATATGCAGATAACGAGTCCCAGATGGGACGAAGTGTGCATGCTGGATTTCACTGCCAGCCACAACCCTACCAATTAACTTCTAATTACATGACCAGACATCTTCGAAGCATCTGCACAAGGAGGAGCCGACATGTCAACCTGAGACTGAGCACTTCCGTCCAATCAACTGACGGGAAAATCTAAAATTGAATTGAATAAACACGACCCTAATGTTCAACAAATTTATTCCGAAGGTAATGGGGAAATGGATTGAGCATACACTGAAGGGACCATCGAAAGGCATCACACTCCAGCTAGACCATCGTCCGAGTAGTACCCAAATGAGAAACGACGAGTGGGGTTGTCTGAGGGTAACGTGGAGGAGGAGATCTGATAATATCAGCAATCGTGGAGCCAGCTAAACAGGATCGCAAAGAATACGGCAAAGTGGAGACGTGCTATTGAAGACCTATGTGTCCTACTCGGAAGCCGAGGGAACAATAATATTAATAATCACAGTAAAAAGCCAAGCTATTGATAAAAATCACCTTCCAAAAAGAATTTTATTTTTTGTTTTTCTGTTTCTGTTGTACAAAAAGCGAATTGATTTTACACAAATCCTTGAAAGTTGTGAGTAGACAAAATACTCTGAAGAGCAAAGAAGGCGAACAATATATGTACATATATACAAAATCAACTTATTTTTCTATGCATCCACATTGAAGGTACCATTACAACATATCTCAGAGTCTGTATTCAAACCATTAGTTATCAAAATCTTTTTATAAGTTGAAAATAAATGTCTAATTAAATAACTTGTTTCTCTCGGTTTTATACACTCACAAGACTTTCGACTAGCCTCATATCGATCAATATAAGCGGTTAGAGTATCCAATTGAACTAGTTTATTCAGTGTACAATGATTGTGTATTAAATAAAATAATAGAAAATCTATACAGAAATGTGTTAAACAAACTTCCCATAGTGAAGAGGGTTGACGATCTGCAATCAACTGGCTGAAGTATGTTAAACAATCACTAGTTATGCTTTTCATCCAATCATTTTTAAGACATCCATAGACGACCTCCTTATTTTCTTCACCATTATTCACCACCAACGCCGCCGCCTCCTCGTTCTCCTCCTGATAGCTAACCATACAGAAATGTGCAATCTGACCGATATTTAATAACATTAAACTGCATACTATACCCGGGCAGGGTGTAGTTTCTGATGATGACGAAAGAAGGCGTGAAAATGCTTCATACCAACGATTAAGAAACAGCGGTTCTTTTGGAAATAGCCGAAAACTAACTGTTAAACACATTGATGATAAACGCAGACATTCATTTGACAAATAATCATTATGATTTGAAGATGATGCATTTAGAAGAAGATTAATACCAACCCAACACCAGGAAAGTTGTTCAATTTCTTTACCAGGTCGTATTTTAGAAATTTCAACTGCACGATGTACCATTTTCATAGCATTTATCCATTGTTTTTTACCAATATTGAATATAATTGAAAAGAATACCTTTTCAACTGAACTTGAACGATCAATGAATCGTTTTATACACTTTTCTGTGTATATTACAACTTCTGATGATTTTAAACGGAAATGCGCCAGTATTAAAGCTTCTTTAACTTTGTCATAACTTAACAGTAATTCAATTGCTTCGTGAATACGATGTGCACAAACCAGTAGGGTAGCAGAGATGAGAGTATCAGCACTAGTGGTTTGCATATTTCTAATCTATCATTATTGCATTTTTGAGAAAAAAAACAACAAAAATCACGATTACACACAGAAAACAGGGTTATTCATCAAGCATTTTGTATATTCAAAGTAAAATATTTCGCAAATGAACACTATCGACTGTCAATAAACAGACAGTCATACAGATTATCGTAAGTTTCAGCTTAAAGGAGAGTTACAAAAAGATTTTTTAAAACGTTATGTAACTTAAGTTACCGCCCGACAGCTGCCACCTACCTCTTGACGTGGTGGTCACGCTTGCATATGACAATGAGCTACACTGGCTGGAACTAATGTTCTCGTAAATCCTTTCGTACCAGGAAGATTGCTAGGGTAGCGAATGAACTAAAAGCAGTTACCAGCATAGTGCAAGATTTTTTATGTGAACTTGCATTAGCCAGTCCCAGTGCGTTGATCGCTGACGAAATCTCAGAATGGATACAGAAGACTTGTCTGGCATTTACCTGCCAACTTAAATCATCTCTGGCGTAGACGTGATATCCAGCTGGCCGTCGACCAAAAGACGTGTATACTGCTCACCAATTCGTTCCCACCTACTCTTTTATAGCTGTGAGTGAGACGTGGCCATTGACCGTGAAAAACATGGAAAGCTTAGCTAGCTGTCTTTCATCATACGTGTCTGTGTTGTACCTACATCCCGTGTTAGATGGTATGGTATGATACGGTGAGTAATATCGTATTGAGGTTAGGCATCGTCGAGTTCTAGTTAAGGAGTGAGGGAAAGTCGAACGTCGAGTTTGTGAAGTTACATCGATTAAGATGTCTAGGGCATGTGTCGCGCATCCTAGCCTAGCCATCGACCGCCTTACTCGACGGGAAATCTTAGCTAGCTGACATAGGATCGGTGAGTTCTGAGAAAAGCATGTGGTGGTGAAACGAAAACACAACGTCACCAGACAACGAAATCCACAACAGTTGGTTTAGGCCAACCGGTCGGTCACGTAGGGGGTTGTAGATTGGGTGGCTGGCTGTCTGGTTGGGGTCTTCTGGATGGTAAGAACAAATGACCGCTGGAGATAATTGGTGATATGGTTCAAAATCATTCTCAGTGATGGTGCAGCAGATGCATTCACTCACTCTTTGTGATTTGTCATATCCAATAAAACTCTATTGTTCTTCCATTTTACTACTACTGTTTTTCCCTCACTCACACTTGTTTATTATCTCCTTTTTGAACCTCTCTTTACTCTCTTTTCTTGATTTGTGTACTATATGGGGGGAGTGTGGCAACTGGAACTGCCGCACATCCATGCAAAGTTCTACGTTGAAACAAGTCAGCCAGTCACTACTACTTTAAGTTGGTTTCTTTCATTGACCGACCTATTGGACAATCAATGTTAATCGCCATAGAGAAGTTCATCTCTTCATGATGTAAATAAAACTTCCAAAAATGCAAAACAAGTAGATAGAAATGTAATTACAATACCAATACTTGAAGAACGATTATAATTAGACGAAAATGTGAAAGATGACAAAAGGTAAATACATCACACTGCGAATGACCTTCCACGATGTTCCCAAATTTCACATACCAGTGACTTCTGTACTTCGAGGACTATAATTGTGTAACCGACACCGAGCTACATAGCTCAACCAAACAGTCAGTGACTCCATGGATTCCTGCCATGTTATGTTTGATCACTCCAAGTAATACTCTCCACAATTCAATGCTATTTCAAGCAAATATATCTAGTCGAAACAATCAATCGTAAACATGAAAGCGCGCGTTCCAGGACGTGATCGGAGTCTACACACGTGTTTAAGAAGGAGTGGCAGTCTTCTACTGGCCCCCACCAAAGATAGCCCGTTTGAGTCCGACGTTAATTCGGTGATGTAGGTCACCAGAATAGGCAGTATATCTCTTTGTGCCTGAAGTTAATCCCAACTAGGAACAGATAATTATCTGAAGACAACTGTAGAAGATGACCACCGTCCTAGGTTCGCCGGCAGGGAACTCCGTATCACAAATATACTTTTCAGTCTGGCACAACCTCCCTACTTGGGTAACCAAGTCGCCAGCTAAAATGACTACTCCTGCGTGTTTTACACTTTGCAGCAAACTAGACAGTTTTTGGTAGGAGTCATTCTTTTTTTTTTTTTTTTTTTTTTTTTTTTTTTTTTTTTTTTTTTTTTTTTTTTTTTTTTTTTTTTTTTTTTTTTTAGCGTAGTCCTTTCTACGTCAAACAGACCGCACATATATGACTATCTACTGGGATCCAGTCAATAAGCGATTTTTCTGCCTCAACACTCAATGTTATCCCTAAGCCTTAATCCTCATTATATCCCATTAAACCTAACATTTTATAGCTTTTTATGAATTTGATTCGACTTAGTCTATTCCTATTCTCTGTAGGGTACGGTTGTGCACCAAATGCACAAAAAGGCATAAAATAAAAAAACCGACATAAAGAAAAAATGTATTAAAACCAAAAGTGGACATCATGATATTGCAAACTGTTCAGGAAGCATTATACATTGCAAATGAACGTTGTCAGCCTAGGGAGTTTCCTTTATTAATGCATTTATTAGTGATACTTCCACTTACCCATTTCATTACACTTTATTGATTCACCTTAGCACTTTTATTTTCCTAAAACAGCTTCCAATCCCTTGTAAACATTGTACTTACCTCAATATTGGATGGTTATCGCATGCCGACAACCACGGGATGAAAACGAAACGAAGTCAATTTTCCCGCTCAACCTGTAGGACAACTGTACAATTCAATAACTATACAGCCTAGTTTAGACAATGAGTGTAATTATATATATATCAAATATTTAACTGTTGAAACATTAATAACTTGTAGACAATTTACGATTTGATATTATATCATACTTGATCGTGCCTGTAAAAATGGCATGCATTTTCATGTAAATTTATGTTTATATGAGAATATACATTATTATTATCATCAAGTCCTCGCATATCCACAGTTCAAACAATCGGTAGGTCAGTATGCGTAACACATAACACTACTCATCTCATAACAAACAGCACCAGAGCCACATTCACTAGTCGCCTCTCTTTATCTTATACCATACAAAGTAATGAAACATCCTTAGCTTAAAAATACACTGACGAATACAACTTGAGAAATATCGAACTGAATTAACTAATTGAAGCCGTTAGGCGGCCTACGGATCCAATATCCAACATCGTCTTTACGGGCTAGAGAGACTGACTGGCTGGTTTCAACAAAGAACTTTGCACCTATGTGTAGCATTTCGAGTCGCCACACTTCACTTAGCACACAAAGCAAGAGAAGAAAGTAAAAAGAAACGCAAAATAGAGACAGTAAACAGAGATGAGGCAAAAGAATAGCAATATCGAAGAACAATATAGTTTCATTGGGTATTATAGATTTTAGATTCCCCCGTATATGCAGATAACGAGTCCCAGATGGGACGAAGTGTGCATGCTGGATTTCACTGCTAGCCACAACCCTACCAATTAACTTCTAATTACATGACCAGACATCTTCGAAGCATCTGCACAAGGAGGAGCCGACATGTCAACCTGAGACTGAGCACTTCCGTCCAATCAACTGACGGGAAAATCTAAAATTGAATTGAATAAACACGACCCTAATGTTCAACAAATTTATTCCGAAGGTAATGGGGAAATGGATTGAGCATACACTGAAGGGACCATCGAAAGGCATCACACTCCAGCTAGACCATCGTCCGAGTAGTACCCAAATGAGAAACGACGAGTGGGGTTGTCTGAGGGTAACGTGGAGGAGGAGATCTGATAATATCAGCAATCGTGGAGCCAGCTAAACAGGATCGCAAAGAATACGGCAAAGTGGAGACGTGCTATTGAAGACCTATGTGTCCTACTCGGAAGCCGAGGGAACAATAATATTAATAATCACAGTAAAAAGCCAAGCTATTGATAAAAATCACCTTCCAAAAAGAATTTTATTTTTTGTTTTTCTGTTTCTGTTGTACAAAAAGCGAATTGATTTTACACAAATCCTTGAAAGTTGTGAGTAGACAAAATACTCTGAAGAGCAAAGAAGGCGAACAATATATGTACATATATACAAAATCAACTTATTTTTCTATGCATCCACATTGAAGGTACCATTACAACATATCTCAGAGTCTGTATTCAAACCATTAGTTATCAAAATCTTTTTATAAGTTGAAAATAAATGTCTAATTAAATAACTTGTTTCTCTCGGTTTTATACACTCACAAGACTTTCGACTAGCCTCATATCGATCAATATAAGCGGTTAGAGTATCCAATTGAACTAGTTTATTCAGTGTACAATGATTGTGTATTAAATAAAATAATAGAAAATCTATACAGAAATGTGTTAAACAAACTTCCCATAGTGAAGAGGGTTGACGATCTGCAATCAACTGGCTGAAGTATGTTAAACAATCACTAGTTATGCTTTTCATCCAATCATTTTTAAGACATCCATAGACGACCTCCTTATTTTCTTCACCATTATTCACCACCAACGCCGCCGCCTCCTCGTTCTCCTCCTGATAGCTAACCATACAGAAATGTGCAATCTGACCGATATTTAATAACATTAAACTGCATACTATACCCGGGCAGGGTGTAGTTTCTGATGATGACGAAAGAAGGCGTGAAAATGCTTCATACCAACGATTAAGAAACAGCGGTTCTTTTGGAAATAGCCGAAAACTAACTGTTAAACACATTGATGATAAACGCAGACATTCATTTGACAAATAATCATTATGATTTGAAGATGATGCATTTAGAAGAAGATTAATACCAACCCAACACCAGGAAAGTTGTTCAATTTCTTTACCAGGTCGTATTTTAGAAATTTCAACTGCACGATGTACCATTTTCATAGCATTTATCCATTGTTTTTTACCAATATTGAATATAATTGAAAAGAATACCTTTTCAACTGAACTTGAACGATCAATGAATCGTTTTATACACTTTTCTGTGTATATTACAACTTCTGATGATTTTAAACGGAAATGCGCCAGTATTAAAGCTTCTTTAACTTTGTCATAACTTAACAGTAATTCAATTGCTTCGTGAATACGATGTGCACAAACCAGTAGGGTAGCAGAGATGAGAGTATCAGCACTAGTGGTTTGCATATTTCTAATCTATCATTATTGCATTTTTGAGAAAAAAAACAACAAAAATCACGATTACACACAGAAAACAGGGTTATTCATCAAGCATTTTGTATATTCAAAGTAAAATATTTCGCAAATGAACACTATCGACTGTCAATAAACAGACAGTCATACAGATTATCGTAAGTTTCAGCTTAAAGGAGAGTTACAAAAAGATTTTTTAAAACGTTATGTAACTTAAGTTACCGCCCGACAGCTGCCACCTACCTCTTGACGTGGTGGTCACGCTTGCATATGACAATGAGCTACACTGGCTGGAACTAATGTTCTCGTAAATCCTTTCGTACCAGGAAGATTGCTAGGGTAGCGAATGAACTAAAAGCAGTTACCAGCATAGTGCAAGATTTTTTATGTGAACTTGCATTAGCCAGTCCCAGTGCGTTGATCGCTGACGAAATCTCAGAATGGATACAGAAGACTTGTCTGGCATTTACCTGCCAACTTAAATCATCTCTGGCGTAGACGTGATATCCAGCTGGCCGTCGACCAAAAGACGTGTATACTGCTCACCAATTCGTTCCCACCTACTCTTTTATAGCTGTGAGTGAGACGTGGCCATTGACCGTGAAAAACATGGAAAGCTTAGCTAGCTGTCTTTCATCATACGTGTCTGTGTTGTACCTACATCCCGTGTTAGATGGTATGGTATGATACGGTGAGTAATATCGTATTGAGGTTAGGCATCGTCGAGTTCTAGTTAAGGAGTGAGGGAAAGTCGAACGTCGAGTTTGTGAAGTTACATCGATTAAGATGTCTAGGGCATGTGTCGCGCATCCTAGCCTAGCCATCGACCGCCTTACTCGACGGGAAATCTTAGCTAGCTGACATAGGATCGGTGAGTTCTGAGAAAAGCATGTGGTGGTGAAACGAAAACACAACGTCACCAGACAACGAAATCCACAACAGTTGGTTTAGGCCAACCGGTCGGTCACGTAGGGGGTTGTAGATTGGGTGGCTGGCTGTCTGGTTGGGGTCTTCTGGATGGTAAGAACAAATGACCGCTGGAGATAATTGGTGATATGGTTCAAAATCATTCTCAGTGATGGTGCAGCAGATGCATTCACTCACTCTTTGTGATTTGTCATATCCAATAAAACTCTATTGTTCTTCCATTTTACTACTACTGTTTTTCCCTCACTCACACTTGTTTATTATCTCCTTTTTGAACCTCTCTTTACTCTCTTTTCTTGATTTGTGTACTATATGGGGGGAGTGTGGCAACTGGAACTGCCGCACATCTATGCAAAGTTCTACGTTGAAACAAGTCAGCCAGTCACTACTACTTTAAGTTGGTTTCTTTCATTGACCGACCTATTGGACAATCAATGTTAATCGCCATAGAGAAGTTCATCTCTTCATGATGTAAATAAAACTTCCAAAAATGCAAAACAAGTAGATAGAAATGTAATTACAATACCAATACTTGAAGAACGATTATAATTAGACGAAAATGTGAAAGATGACAAAAGGTAAATACATCACACTGCGAATGACCTTCCACGATGTTCCCAAATTTCACATACCAGTGACTTCTGTACTTCGAGGACTATAATTGTGTAACCTACACCGAGCTACATAGCTCAACCAAACAGTCAGTGACTCCATGGATTCCTGCCATGTTATGTTTGATCACTCCAAGTAATACTCTCCACAATTCAATGCTATTTCAAGCAAATATATCTAGTCGAAACAATCAATCGTAAACATGAAAGCGCGCATTCCAGGACGTGATCGGAGTCTACACACGTGTTTAAGAAGGAGTGGCAGTCTTCTACTGGCCCCCACCAAAGATAGCCCGTTTGAGTCCGACGTTAATTCGGTGATGTAGGTCACCAGAATAGGCAGTATATCTCTTTGTGCCTGAAGTTAATCCCAACTAGGAACAGATAATTATCTGAAGACAACTGTAGAAGATGACCACCGTCCTAGGTTCGCCGGCAGGGAACTCCGTATCACAAATATACTTTTCAGTCTGGCACAACCTCCCTACTTGGGTAACCAAGTCGCCAGCTAAAATGACTACTCCTGCGTGTTTTACACTTTGCAGCAAACTAGACAGTTTTTGGTAGGAGTCATTCTTTTTTTTTTTTTTTTTTTTTTTTTTTTTTTTTTTTTTTTTTTTTTTTTTTTTTTTTTTTTTTTTTTTTTTTTTAGCGTAGTCCTTTCTACGTCAAACAGACCGCACATATATGACTATCTACTGGGATCCAGTCAATAAGCGATTTTTCTGCCTCAACACTCAATGTTATCCCTAAGCCTTAATCCTCATTATATCCCATTAAACCTAACATTTTATAGCTTTTTATGAATTTGATTCGACTTAGTCTATTCCTATTCTCTGTAGGGTACGGTTGTGCACCAAATGCACAAAAAGGCATAAAATAAAAAAACCGACATAAAGAAAAAATGTATTAAAACCAAAAGTGGACATCATGATATTGCAAACTGTTCAGGAAGCATTATACATTGCAAATGAACGTTGTCAGCCTAGGGAGTTTCCTTTATTAATGCATTTATTAGTGATACTTCCACTTACCCATTTCATTACACTTTATTGATTCACCTTAGCACTTTTATTTTCCTAAAACAGCTTCCAATCCCTTGTAAACATTGTACTTACCTCAATATTGGATGGTTATCGCATGCCGACAACCACGGGATGAAAACGAAACGAAGTCAATTTTCCCGCTCAACCTGTAGGACAACTGTACAATTCAATAACTATACAGCCTAGTTTAGACAATGAGTGTAATTATATATATATCAAATATTTAACTGTTGAAACATTAATAACTTGTAGACAATTTACGATTTGATATTATATCATACTTGATCGTGCCTGTAAAAATGGCATGCATTTTCATGTAAATTTATGTTTATATGAGAATATACATTATTATTATCATCAAGTCCTCGCATATCCACAGTTCAAACAATCGGTAGGTCAGTATGCGTAACACATAACACTACTCATCTCATAACAAACAGCACCAGAGCCACATTCACTAGTCGCCTCTCTTTATCTTATACCATACAAAGTAATGAAACATCCTTAGCTTAAAAATACACTGACGAATACAACTTGAGAAATATCGAACTGAATTAACTAATTGAAGCCGTTAGGCGGCCTACGGATCCAATATCCAACATCGTCTTTACGGGCTAGAGAGACTGACTGGCTGGTTTCAACAAAGAACTTTGCACCTATGTGTAGCATTTCGAGTCGCCACACTTCACTTAGCACACAAAGCAAGAGAAGAAAGTAAAAAGAAACGCAAAATAGAGACAGTAAACAGAGATGAGGCAAAAGAATAGCAATATCGAAGAACAATATAGTTTCATTGGGTATTATAGATTTTAGATTCCCCCGTATATGCAGATAACGAGTCCCAGATGGGACGAAGTGTGCATGCTGGATTTCACTGCCAGCCACAACCCTACCAATTAACTTCTAATTACATGACCAGACATCTTCGAAGCATCTGCACAAGGAGGAGCCGACATGTCAACCTGAGACTGAGCACTTCCGTCCAATCAACTGACGGGAAAATCTAAAATTGAATTGAATAAACACGACCCTAATGTTCAACAAATTTATTCCGAAGGTAATGGGGAAATGGATTGAGCATACACTGAAGGGACCATCGAAAGGCATCACACTCCAGCTAGACCATCGTCCGAGTAGTACCCAAATGAGAAACGACGAGTGGGGTTGTCTGAGGGTAACGTGGAGGAGGAGATCTGATAATATCAGCAATCGTGGAGCCAGCTAAACAGGATCGCAAAGAATACGGCAAAGTGGAGACGTGCTATTGAAGACCTATGTGTCCTACTCGGAAGCCGAGGGAACAATAATATTAATAATCACAGTAAAAAGCCAAGCTATTGATAAAAATCACCTTCCAAAAAGAATTTTATTTTTTGTTTTTCTGTTTCTGTTGTACAAAAAGCGAATTGATTTTACACAAATCCTTGAAAGTTGTGAGTAGACAAAATACTCTGAAGAGCAAAGAAGGCGAACAATATATGTACATATATACAAAATCAACTTATTTTTCTATGCATCCACATTGAAGGTACCATTACAACATATCTCAGAGTCTGTATTCAAACCATTAGTTATCAAAATCTTTTTATAAGTTGAAAATAAATGTCTAATTAAATAACTTGTTTCTCTCGGTTTTATACACTCACAAGACTTTCGACTAGCCTCATATCGATCAATATAAGCGGTTAGAGTATCCAATTGAACTAGTTTATTCAGTGTACAATGATTGTGTATTAAATAAAGTACGATGGACCTTATAAAGTAATTAAACGTTCGGATAAATTCTTTGTCTTGGTCAAAGTTGGCCGCGAGGACACCATCAGTAGCGTTAGGTTTTCAGAATGTGTGCACACATATATGACATAACGAAGTCGTGTGATTCACCCAACTCAACCGTTTGTGGCACTAACTAGTTTTTTAGCCACACCTATTTTTTATACACAGTATCACTAAATACAACCAATTTTTTTTTCTTTAACAGCACATCTTATATGCACCGAAAAATTAGATGTATTCTTTTTGATGTTCTAAACTTAGCATTATTTTACTGTATGGTAAATGCACATCATTTTTTTTTAACAAAAACGATCACTTAGTACATTTTCCTCGACATGGTTTTTAGCGTTCTTGTTTCCTTTTCCAGGTGCGGCAAACACTGAAAAAGAAACAAACGAAGCACGGGATCCAACGAACAACATCAAGGCAGCCATGTACTAACACACTAATAACCAGTGGACAAGGGAGTTTATATAGACAGACAAATGGTGTTGCTATGGGTTCACCAGTCTCCCCAATAGTCGCCGATCTTTACATGAATAAATTCGAAAATAATATCTTTTCAAGCATACTCACTCCTAAAATATGGTTAAGATATGTGGATGATACTTTTGTAGTACTAAAACGAGATCTACACAATTCATTCCTGGAGAAAATAAACTGTGTATCTCCCAAAATCCAGTTCACTTCGGAAGCAGAATCAGACATCGGTGAACTTCCATTTCTAGACTGCCTAGTTAAGAGGAAGGAAAATGGACATTTTAGTATATCCATATTCAGAAAGAAAACCCACTCCAACAAATATTTAGACTTCAAATCATCACACCCCATCAGCGCAAAGATTTCAGTTGTTTCAAGTCTTCTTAGACGAGCACACTCCCTGATAACAGATGAGCAAGAAAAAGAAGAAGAAATTTCAAACATCACTAAAACTCTCAAGCAAAACAACTACCCAACGAACTTCATCAACAAAATCAACACAGACATTAAGTATGGCCGAAAATGCATTCCGAAAACATGGACTTCAACAGTCGTCATTCCATATAGAGCAGAGACGTCAGACGATATCAGAAGAGTACTTAATCAACTCGACATAAGAGTTTTCTTCAAAACATCGAACACACTTCAAAACAACCTTGTCCATATAAAAGACCAAATCCCGAAAGATTCTCTATCTAATTGTGTCTACAAAATAAAATGCTCGGAATGCGATGCGATCTACATTGGACAAACATCTCGAGAAATCAAAATCAGAAGAAATGAACACCGTAGAGCTTCTCTTAGACCACCAAGAAATCCAGTTGAACTGGAAAATCTTCAAAAATCATCAGCCATAGGTCTACATGCTATAGAATCAGGCCACAAAATTGATTTTGACAATATTGAAATAATCCAGAAAAACTTCAGAAACCACAAAGAACGTCTAATATCAGAAGCACTTCATATCAAGTGGAATCCAAATTGCCTGAATAGGAATGATGGACTGAAACAGAATCTAACCTGGCTACAACACCCTCCCCCATGAAGTAACAAAAACAACGCAAATGTGGTGAGCAAGTTCACTATGTAAACGCACACTACTTTCATAATTCTACACACTGACAAAATCCAACAATCTACACTTGGTTTTACTATCTTTACCAGTTCGCTAACTTGACAACAAAAAAACGACCCAGACTGATGAATGATGATCAAGTATTTCACATTCTACACTTAGTTTGGTTACCTTTACCTATTCTCGAACTTGACAACCAAAAATGACTCCAGATTAACGAACGATGATCAAGTTAGTAAACTTTATTTTGATATAATAACAGATATACTATTACCTTTGATTTTTGGTTTGAACGATCTTCATTGTTATTTTGACTTTCAATATGTCCTTTTAAGTTGAACTAAGTCTATATTTTTCTCACCCCCTAATTCTTTGTTATATATATGCTGAGATTTTGTAAATTCCGGTTTAATAATACTTTGAGAAAGCTATTAGCATTAAATAGCGAAACGTCAGTAAAAACAATCTCGTTTTGTTTTTTCATTCATTGGGAAATACAAAAAACCTCTATTATAATGAATGGATATGTATCACTAGCTAATAACACTTGATCAATGTTCCTGACTGTCTATATCTACTTATGGAGATGTGAAGACATTGTTTTACAACTGTTTATCCGCACACATACACACTGTGTTTAAAGTGTTTAACAAGGGTAGATCAATATTTGTAAGTCTGAGGTCAAATTTTGATCACAACTCATACAATTTTGTTTATTGTTCATGTTGATGCCTGTTTTATGACTCATGATTGGACAAAGTGTTTTTAAAAATAAGAGATGTTCCTTTTATATATAAACCTCTGTTATGTTAATTTGGATTAATTACCCTGAAGAAGTCCGGACCAGATTGCCGAACGAAACGTTGGAATTACTCATTTCAATATCGCTGAGATTTTACAAATATAATTTTTTACAAAACAAAAATTGTATGTACTATGATCAAAAAACTTTTGTCCTCAGGCTTTCAAAATTTGTCTACTTTTTTTAAAATATATGTGTGAATGCAGTATATGCAGGATACAATGGTGTGTGTATGTGTGTGTGTGTGTGGGTGGAGCAGTCATAAAACATATGCTATTCTCATATGAGCTGTGATCAAGATTTGACCGGATAGTTACAAATAATTGACATTTTTATAAATATAATTTCATTTTTATAGATTTGTTATTCTCTCCATAAGAAGACGTAGACAGTCGGGAATTTGACTAAGTGTGACTACTTGATCATACATATCAAATTTTACTTTGTTTATTAGTCAGGATTTGCCATGCATCGGCTAACATCACACCTTCACGTCTGTTTAAACTGTTGGGATTCACCCATATATGTAGGGCTTCTGCAGTCAGTCATTCTTGATATGAACCGAAGCCTTTCTGTAAAATCTTAGTCTTATCAAAGTCGATTTTGTGTCCCGTTTCTATTGAATGTAGTGCAATCGCTGAGTTGTTTTCTAGCTTCTTCAAGTCTGCAGAGCTCTTTCGAACCACCTTTAGACATTGTTTATGCTCTTTCATTCTTATATTTACCTGTCTAGAAGTTTCTCCTACATATACTGCGTTACAATCCCCACAATTGATCTGGTATACGCAATTCTGCTGGTTTTCTTGTTCTATTTTATCCTTAACCTTCACCAGCAATGAACGTAAGGTGTTAGATGCACGAAAGTACACTCTTATGTTATGTTCGTTAAGGATTCGCTTTATTTCATCGGACGTTTCTTTGCGATAAGGAACCACCGCTGTACTAACACAATTCTTAGCAGC